GCCATGGCGGCGGCGGGCTGGGGAATGGAGGAGGAGGAGGAGCAGGGAGGCGGCGGCGGCGAAGGCTAGGCTGCGAATGAGTGGGCGCCGGGCGAGCACAGGGGAGCGCCGAGCTGGGCGCCTGGCACCAGGGCGCAGACTCCGAGCGGCGGCGAGAGAAAGAGAGGGAGCTTCCCGCTGCCAAGGGACCTCCTCTGCCAGAGAACAGAGACCCCGCCCGGGCTCGGGCAGTATTGCACTAGGGCTCGCTCCAGCCCAACCTCGCGCTCGCTAGGCCGCCCTGCAAAGCTGGTCGAGAGCGCGGGGACCCGCCCGCTGCCGCCTAGCGACCGCCAGTGGGCTGGGGACGCGCAGGCTCCGCGGGTGCGAGAGAGCCCGGCCTGCCTCCCTCTGCACCACCAGCTCGCCGACCACACGTGTTCCGAGGGAGGGCCTCCGAGCCCCCTGACCTAAGCCCCGGGCCCCCCAGCCTCTTCCGGGCTAGCGCCTGCTGCGAAGAGAAAAAAGAAATCCAATGCCCTGCCAGCTCGCAGGTGCTGAGGACACGTGGAAAGGTCAGCCCGGCTCCGGCATTCAACTCCAGCCGTGTCGTGGCCCCATCTTCTACCGACTACGTGTGTACGTGTCTCCCTCTGTCTGTTTCACACATACACGCAGTCGTACCTTCTCAGTGAGCGAAGTGCTTTCGACTGGGAAGCTTTGGATAGAGCTAAGAGAACAGAAAGTTCTTCTGCAAGGGGCCCAGTTGGGTAAAACAACAGCAGTCCACAGGTTAACCTTCTTAAGAAAGAATTTGCAGAAGAGACACACCAACCTCTAATCATCTGCTAACCACACTGCGCTCAATTGTTTAAAGGAGGCGCAACTTTTTTCCCTTTCTTTTCATCTTGAAAACACTTCCAGCACATGTCACACGCAATAGGATTAAGACACTAACATTCGTCTAATCCTAAATAAATAAATAAATAAATAAATAAATAAATAAATAAATAAATAAATAAAGCAAGCAAGCAAAGAGAAAAACTGCGGAAGAACTGAAAACATCTCTGGTGCCAATTTTCCAAAGTGACTGCAGACATAACATACGATATACAAATTTTAGTTATGATTAAATAGAAGTACAACACGCCCTTCTTTGTTGTCGTCTAGCTCAGTCCTAGAAAACTTTAAGACAAAATAGATTCATTACTCCGAGGTGGTCTATTTCCAGGTTCTAGCTTTGGAAGAGAAAAAAGTTTAAAAGCAAATACTTTTGTTCCCCCTCCCCCACTCAGAGAAAAGCTTGCAGGAAATTGGCCCAGCAGGTGAGATGATTCTAAACACTTTGCCTTGACACAAAACAGCTCTTTCACTTATGCATAAAAATTGGAAAGTGAAACTGACCAGACTTGTTTTATTATCCAATGTTAGTCAATGGAAGAAGAAAGACATGGAAATAGAAAAAAAAAAAAAGTTAAAAAGTTTTATTGCATTGAACTTTTATAAAGTATTAGCAAGAATAAAGAGATGGCTTTAATGAGGTTTTATTCCCACTCCTTTATCTTTAGACGTAAATACGATCTAATGATTAAATTGTTATCCAATGGCTACTAGAAATTGTACCTTAAACTCTAAAATACCAAGTATTCCAAATGGCATCATCGTTAACCAAGATGGCTGCTTCTAACACAGCACAAAAAGACCAACTGCGGAGAAACCCCAATTTGCCCTAGGTATTGTTTAAAATTTAGTACTAGAGGGCTTCTGAACTTAGTCCCTGTTGGTATAGCCAAAAAGGATAAAAAGAAAGTTTGGCTTTGCTCTTCAGAAACATATAGCCAATCTAAATTCTGTTACCAGGGAGCCAGTTTAATTTTCAATGAAACTTATTTCTCTCTCAACCGGGATCTGGTATGAGACAATCAGCTTGTTAAGTTGGAAATGGCTTCTGGAAAACTCAATTGCTGGGTAAAGCTAGCAGAGAGTAGCACCACAGGGGGAAACTCAGATTTATCAGCATTCTTTCCACTTTATTCAACACTGTGATAGAATTTTAAGATTGGGTCTGGCTTCCCTATTTCACAAGTTTCTATTGTTTCCTATTCCACAGTGTCTGAAGACTTCCACTTTTAGAGCCTATTGCAACAAGACATTCCTTCCAGGCAGAGCAGGGGGCAAATTGGCTCTCTTTTAGCTTTATTACTAAACTAAACTGCCTGAGAAAAGCAGCCTGACTGCTTCAAGTCAGCTGAGGGGTGGAGTTTGAAGGGCCTGGCTTTCTTAAAGGGCCCACGTCATGGTAAGCTTAAGAATGTATTGGCCTTGAATAGGATTTGGAGGAAATCTGCATTTGGACATGGTACTTGTAGGCAGTAATCGTGTTGAGAGGACTTTAGGGGGAAAGCCATCTTCTAAAGCTTCCTTCCTGATACAGAGGGTGAATAAACAGGAGAATTTTTTTTTTTCACTGTGGTTTTTATTGTTATTGCAAAGCAGAAGTGTGTCTAATTTTCTACTTCTTGTAAAAGTGATTCCCCTTATAAACAGACCATTTATCACAACACTGGTTCAGTAATAGCATTACAATGAAAACACCAGTTACCGAACCAATAATATCATTATAAAACTCCTTCTCAGCTTTCTAGGGGAAATGAATCAGAAGAATAAATGATAGTATGTGCTGCCTGGAGGTAGAAGGGATAAATTTAGATAATCTCCTCCATTGGAGAAATAATGAAATTCAGCTTTGCCCTGAATTTAAACTGCAAATATATGTGAACAAAAGAAAAGACTACCTTGTAGTCTAACTGCAAGGCGTCAGACAACATCAAGATCTTTCTTTGTCTAATGCCATTGTTGCAGCTGATCTACTCTGTGGCCTTGGAACTTTGGTATCTTCAATTGTAAGATTAAAATAACAGCCTAAATCACAGGGAAATCATGTTAATTTTTAATGACTATAAACAAATTGCTCTATGTATCTAGTTATGTTAATGTTATAGCTGAGGGATTTTATTCAAATTCGGAATGAATTTGGTGGGTTCAGGACCTACCCTTATAGTTTTGAAAAGCATTGCAATGAGCCAAGCATAAACTGGCTATCAGAACATCAGGAGAAAGTCAGAACAATATGTCCTGTGGGACTATTATTTCTGAAAAGGTAGTTGATGGGGTTTACTTAAATACACCTTTGATTTAGATTCCGTGTTTGGTCTAGCGAGGGGTTTCTCAACCATATCAATACTGGCACTTGGGGTGGAATAATCCTTTGTTGTGGGGGCTGCCCTTTGCATTGTAGGATGTTTGGCAACATCCTTTTCCTCTACCCACTAGATGCCAGTACCACACCAACCAAAAAATGTCTCCAGACATTGCCAAATATTTCCCCCCAGCGGGCATGATTGCCCCCATTTGAGACCATTGACTGAGTAGAGCAATTACTTTTGCCAGACGAAGGCAGGCCCATTTTAAAGTGGTTTTTCTGGCAACACATTAATTACATACCTCTGAGTCATCAAGAAATGTCACTGTTGTTTGATATTCCCAGTATCAACAAGCCAGGAGATCCAGGACCCAAACAACCACAACCACCCTCCCTACTATTGCTATCTGTAGCTAGTCTATTTATTTAACGTGCTTTTTCGATATTTTACACCTATTCACATTAAACTAGCCTTACCCATGCAACATCCCACCCTGGCAAGAGATCATGACTAGAAAATGAATTACATATTTCATCTCTATCCTTCTGTATTCCATCACTCATTATTGGTCCACAGGAATCAAAGCTATACAGATGGCAGCGTAAAGAAATAAGCTTAAGAAAATCAGATTGGAATCAGGTAAGAATCTCAGCAAAAAAATGAAATATATGACTTATGGGTTTAGAGATTTGTCAGCCTGTAAGACCTAAAACTTGTCCTGACACAGATCATCTAGAACTGCTGACTGGGAAATGCTTTGTAAATCCTACTCAATACACAGCAGAGCTTAAAAGACAGTAAAGGGAAATACTAGGCTCTAGTGGCAAAGAGGAAAGTGAAACAACCCAGCCTCCACCTACACTACAAACCTTATATTTGTGCAATGAAATAATATAAGCAATGCAAATGAACAAGCTACAAACTACACGAAGCAACATGCTTGAACCTCGCAAACGTAATAAGCAGAAGCCAGACACGAAATGCTGTAGCATAGCATATATGAGCAAATATATACAAAATAGGCAAAATAAATCTACAGGGTTAGAAGTCAGAATAATGATTCCTTTAAGAGAGGGTAGTGACTAGAAAGGAGACTAGGAAATTTCTAGTAATTTTTTTTTCCACGTCTTGTTATATGTTCTCTTGTGAGACAGTGTTGAGTGATCAGTGTACTTTTCTATATATAAGGTATACTTAAATAAAACATATGAATCAAACAAAGAGGGAGATGACAACAAACCAGAGTAGTAAACTTGGCACCTAAAACTGGGTCACGTTAATCATGGAGTTTGACTTTAATGCTTATCAAGGACAGGAGTTGAGGCCTTGGTGCCACACAAGATACCAGACCTATGAAAAACCATAACCCACACTGAAAGGCTAAACTACAGGGGAAGTCTTTCTATCTGCCAACAAGTATACTATAAGGAAACTCGTTTGTCTTAAGATTCAGTGTTGTGTTTGTTTCTTTGTTTAAGTCTCTTTGGAAATGTTATAATCTAGACCCAAACTTTGTGGAATTAGGGAGTTTATATATATACTTTATAGTACCTAAATGGTCCAGAAATCTCCAAGATAATATACTATTTTGAAAGTTCACCTGAATAGAAACGCTTTGTGTGATAGGAATGTTCCACGTTTTGACTGTGGTAATGGTTACAAATATGTATATGTTTGTCAAATATCATCATAAATATACTTACAAAGAATAAATTGAATTCTATGGAAAATA